ATGTACTATTTGTTTACATTGTGTTAAAACAAAACAAAACAAAAAACACCATGTACTAACAAATGTCTAAAACTATTAGAAATAAGGCTGGCAAAACAGGCTGCTGTTCCTATCCATGAATACCTTGTTTGGAGCTACCCAGCAGGAACAAGCCCTGCCTACTAGCCTCAGATACCAATCCACCCAGAGAGTATTGGAGGAGTCCAGGATTATAGGATGCTAGGATAGCAGGACTTACAAAGGCCTATACCTTCCTGAGATGTTCGTTAGTGCTAAATATACCTAAAGCTGCCACGAAAGCTGAGGAAGTCAGTAGTAAGAAGTGTTAGGAGTGCATATGTATTCATGCAACTGCTGCTGCTGCTCCCTGCTCAACTGCAGGGAAACTGCTGGTTCAGAAACCATGCTGTGCAGCAGTCTCTCAGCAGGTGTCACTAATCTGATCTTTAAGCACATTCCCTGACAATCCCAATATGCAGATTATTTTTTATCAGATGGGATGGGACTCATTCAGGGCAGTATGGCCATAGATGAATTTTTTTAATATCAAAGCAGCTTTATGACATGACTACTCATACACAACTTTCAGCAGCCTACAAAAGAATGTAAGACTTACCCCACTTTACTGTCTTGGGTGTTGGGAAAGTCACATGGCTCACACGGCAGGCATACTCATCTTTTTCATTGGGGGTAAACTCGGTATAGTACAGGAGATAGAAAGACCAGTCCTTGCTGAAAGACAAGTCTGAATGCTCCACTTTTTCAATTTTCTTTCCATTCTTCAGTAAGTCAACTTCAATGTCGGATGGATGAAACCCAGACACATAGCAATTCAGGAAATTCGGCTTTCCATTCTCTGCCGGATGACGTGAGTAAACCTGAATCTTTGGAGCATCTGAAAACATCAGGAAAAGACAAATGAATATTAATTACCAGGGTATTTCAATTGGGGATAACTTAGTCTCAAGCTAGATTAAGCACCACGTGTTTACATTTGATCATCGATTTATCTCCCAATTCCATTTCCACTACGGCCAAATGACCTTCCACCTTCCCAACAAGCCACCTCCATTTTGAGGAATAAATATGACTTGGTATCTTTCCCACGTAATTCCTCTATACATGCCTTTTTGTTTTTTTCTAGCCGATTTCTAGCAGTATCTTCTGTCACTGGAGATTGTGCTGCATTTTTAAGAGCCTTTTTCTGGAGGCTCTCAAGGACTTCTGATTGCTTCTCAGCACCCATAGCATTCCTTAACACATCCCTCAAGAGCCTACATGATTTGGCCCCAAGCTACTTTTCAAACTTCATTTCTCAGTTCATAATAGCCCCATCAAATTACTCATGTTATTGTACTGTTTCCACCCCTTCTGTTTTTTTTTTTTTCTTATGCTTACTCCTTTCTTTTCGGTTTCTGCTCCTGCCTTGATCTACACCCATCTGATTTTCTAAAATGTATTAAGTATCTAGTAGAGTGCCTGGCACATAGCAATTGCTCTGTAAGTGGCAGATGTTATTACTGTTACCTCAGGTTCCTAAGTGGATCAACCCAAGGTATGTTCTTATTTATTTATTTTTATTTTTTTGAGATGGAGTCTCACTTGCCTAGGCTGGAGTGCAGTTGTGAGAGCTCAGCCCACTGCAAATTCCACCTCCCAGGTTCCAATGATTCTCCTGCCTCAGCCTCCCGAGTAGCTGGGACTACAGGCATATACCACCACACCTGGCTACTTTTGTATTTTTAGTAGGGACAGGGTTTCACCATGCTGGCCAGGCTGGTTTCAAACTCCTGAACTCAAGTGATCCACCCTCCTTGGCCTCCCAAAGTCCTGGGATTACAGGTGTGAGCCAACGCACCCAGCTAACCCAAGGTATGTTCTTAACAAACAACAAAACTTCTTTATTTCCACTTAAGGTTTATATGCCAAACCCCTCTCTGATTTTGTACCTGATTTCATGAGCTAAAAAACAAAGAAACAAAACCTAAATGCATACAAGAGCTGGCAAATACCTTAAATGGTTGATTTGGACCCAATAAAACACAATAGGGATAGGTGAGGACTATGGCAAATGGGACAGAGCATAGTCTCCACTATGATCAAATGGAATAATGCGTGTGACAGTGGGATTTGCATTTTAATTAGCATCCACAGGTGATTTCTGTAACTAGCCAGGTTGGGAATACATTGCGTAATGTTATAAAACCAGTGCTTCCAAAGTGAGAGGCATCACTAGACCAACCATGGAGAAGTGGGAAGAAAATATTATAAACTCTATTTTTCATCGAAAATGAAGAGAAGTGTTAGTGCTACTAAATATACAGATTGGCACTAAATATATGTGTATAAAATTCTTTTAAATATACATATATTCAGGGTACATGATCACTAAAAGGCAGCTACTCCTCCATGTCTGGGAGGTGGTGGAGAGAAGGAGGAGTACCAGGCCATCTAGACCAGATACATCTTTCTAGAAAACACCCTATCATCAAGGAAAGGCTACTAGCCCCATCAAGAAGTGGACTGGGGATCCTTTGAAGAGCTGATTTTTTTCATAGCATTAAAGGCTAAGAGAGCTCTTTGCATTTGAGCTTCTAATAATAAGAACATAATAAATGCCACAGGGGTCAGAGCACAGTTTCATCCTGCCTGGAATTCTCTGTGAGGGAAGGAGGCAAGATTTGGAGAGCATCACTGTAATCTTTTCTAAGAAGAGGACAGTTATCAGACAGGCTGAGTTTAAATTTGGGCTCAACCAGTAACTGGCTTTGTGACTTTTGGAGAGTTATTTAAGTTTCCCAAGTTTAACTGAAAAATTAGTTTATGCCCACAACAAAACAAAACAAAACCCACACACAGGACAGAGGGGAAAATAGGCCTTCAGGGGCAATCACCATTACACATTTCTCATGGTATCTTCCAGAAATGGTCTATGTATGGCACGGATTACTTTGGAAAATTTCAAAATAAGATTTTCTTAAAAAAAATCTGTGTTATTTTTTAAAACAACATCTAACATAATTAGCAAATCCAATAACATCGATGACATCTACATTATTCTTTATTTTGTAAATAAATTGTATTCAAATTAAATGTAATTTTCTCATGATCAAAACATTCTGCCTTTGATCATTTTTTTGCCAGGCAAAAGGTGAGAGAGCTTATTGTACTGCCAGGTATTTAGAAAATGCTCAAGATCTTTGGTGTCTTCAACAGTCTTGGTAACCATTTTGGATTATCTTTATTAATGGTTTTATAACTCCCCTGACTTTGACAAACCTTCACTTTTTCCTTTTTTTCCTTTGTTGTTGTTGTTATTCTTGTTTTTGAGATGGAGTCCCAGGCTTGAGTGCAACAGTGCGATCTTAGCTACTACAACCTCCACCTTCTGGGTTCAAGCCATTCTCCTGCCTCAGCCTCCCGAGTGGCTGGGATTAGGCACCTGCCACCACGCCCGGCTAATTTTTGTATTTTTGGTAGAGACAAGGTTTCACCATGTTGGCCAGGCTGGTCTCGAACTCCTGACCTCAGGTGATTCTCCTGCCTCGGCCTCCCAAAGCGCTGGGATTACAGGCGTGAGCCACCGTGCCCGGCCTTCTTTTTCTTTTTTAAGAGACAGGGTCTCGCTCTGTTACCCAGGCTGGAGTGCAGTGGTGCCAGGATAGCTGAAACTCCTGGGTTCAAGAGATCCTCCTGCCTCAGCCTCCTGAGCAGCTGGGACCCCAGGCACGAGCCACCACACCCAGCTAATTTTTATTTTTATTTTTTGTAGAGACGAGATTTCAGCATGTTGACCAGGCTGGTCTCAAACTATTGACTTCAAGCCATCCTCCCACCTCAGCCTCTTAAAGTGCTGGGATTACAGGCGTGAGCCGCTAAGCCCAACCCCTTCACGTTTTCAAAACTGAAAGTAAGAGGCACAGTACAACTTGGAAAGAACCCGGCAAGGCGCCAAAGAGGAAGCCCTCTGTTAAGAAAAGACCACAGGGCCCACGGCCGCCCAGTTTCCCCTGGAAAATCTCACGCAGAAGGCAGGCGTGTTTCCGAAAAAACATACTGATTACAGCTAAAAGGCACTCGCACCCGCAAAAGGCCCTGGTCAGGCTTGATTTCAATCTTGATTGCTGCCATTTATCTCCTGTGTAATTATGTTTCTTAAAACCTCGGTGCCTCAGTTTCCCCATCTGTGAGAGGCAGAAAATAACCATAGTAGTTATCTATGGTGGAAACTGCTTTGTAACACAGCCAAGCATTCTACAAACGTCGCGTGCTGTCTCCTCGCCACGGTGTGGCCCCACATAGACCCGGAGGTGCCAGGGCAGGCTAACTTAGCGGGCGCCTAGACGACGTCCATAGCTCTCCCGTCCGAGGAAAGCAGAGCCGCAGTGGACTGGCTGACCCGGGCGACGCCTCCCCCAGACCCCAGGCGCCTCTCCGCGCGTTCAAGCCTTCAGCTCCGAGCCTTTGGGACGAGCCTACCAGTCCCACTCCGGCTGCGCTCGCGTAGCCCGAGGCGAAAGAGCGGAAGAGAAACTTTCCCCCACCTCGGAGCTCTGACGCCTATCGACGCCCTAAACTTCGTCCCGGCCCTCCTGACCCCGCAGGCCAAAGGTCTCCCCTGCTCCCCGCCTAAAGGAGCAAGAAGCGCGCGTCCCGGGGCGCACCGCCCCACCCCCACCCCGCGACTCCCAGGCCACCCCATTGCTTCTCTGGAGACCGAGCCCTGGATTGGCCCCCCGGGGGGCCACGAAGGAAAACTTGTAGGGAGGTAACGGAACGAGAAAGCACAGAGAGGGCTACAGAGGGTGGGGCGGGAGGGGAAGGACCAGCGCCGGACGGGAGGAGAGACTTACGCTGGATAGCCTCCAGGCCAGACAGACAGAGTAGCACCAGCAGGGCTGCCACCACGAAGCGAGCCATCTCGACCCAAGTGTAGTCTGCCACAGTAATGCCCGCGCGACTTGACGCCTCTATTTATGTTATACAGAGTCGGGCACAGCCAATCAGGACAAGGCCCGCAGGGACAGCCAATCAGGATAAGGCCCGCGGGGACTGTCACCGGTCTCCAAGCCAGCGACGCCGTGCCAGGTTAGAGAAAGGGACTTTCCCGTTTTCAGTTTCCTTTTCTTAAAATCTCGTGATGTTTAGGAAGGCATGCACTGGATTGGATGAGTTTGCCGTCTGTACATTGACGATCTTTAATCTGGGGTGCGCGCCCCAGCTTGGGACACGAGGCTCTCATTCTAGGACTTTAGGCCGGAGGCACCGTAAGCCCGCTTTGCAAACGGGCCCTAGAGATGCTAAGTGACTCGCTAACCGTGCCCCAGCCAGTTAAGGGCTTGGACCTTCACTTTTAATTCGTGGAAACTGAAACCCAGCAGATTTTCTTTGAATGCTACCTGGTAGAATGAGAATTTCGATTTACAAGTACAGCCCGGGAATTCACTGAAGGGTTTCTTGATTCTCTGGGCAAGAAAAGTAGTCCCAGAAACATCCTGAGGGCAGCTCAGAGAAGGTCCTAGCAAACGAGGACTTTTCTTGCTTCTTGAATCCCTTCAGGAAAAAGTGTTTGGAAAGCTCTGTGCCAAGAAGTTCCTCCCTGTGTCCTCGCAGTTTAGGTAATTTTCTTTGTTCTGTTGATTTGTAGGGAAAAAAACACCTGACCACTGACAGTAAAAGCAGCAACTGCTTAGGGCTTTGGAGTTTCCGGAGACCTTCAGGTACCATCATTCTCTTAGTTTCCACCCTAGAACAGGGCCTGACATATAGTAGGTACTCAGTAAACTGGATGGATGGTTGGATGGATGGATGAATTAGTGAATACATAAATAAACTGCAGGAGGAAATAATGACCCCAGTCATTTTATGGACAGGGGAAACAAAGGCTAAGAGACTAGAATTCAAACTCTGGCTTGATTCCATTGGCGTTCATATTTTAGACACTGAAAGACAAAGGGCTCGGCGATTTTAGTGAGAATTTGCACTGCATCTGCCTTGGTCCCTGCCAAGGACGTTAAACATGACAGGCAGACCCATTAAGAAAACCTACACTCTAAAGAGACCATAAATAAAGTGCTGCCATTTCGTGGTGGCTGAGTCCAAAGGTCTTTTCTGAGAGGAACAGCGAGAAGAGGAAGTGGACCGTGGGGATGGGGAGCGGCAGAGACCTTGGAAATTACCATGGTTTTCAGTTGAAAGGATTTGCCTAGCTTCCCCAAGGAGCACAACAAATACCTTCTGGGTTTCTTTTACATATTTTTACTTTTGATAATCCTTATTGTAGAGGCCATGCCTAAACTAAGAAAGTAGAATGCTGTCCATCAACCTAATTAAATGAGATAATGCACAGAGAGAGCCTCCCAAAATGCCTGGCACATAGTAAGTATTCTATAGTGTTTAATAAGTTCTATAATTATTAATATT